CTTCCAGCACTGATGTCATCCCCTAGTTGGGTCATGAAACGTCTGCAAGAAAGCCACCCAGCTCAGAGAGCACCAAGGACCCCACAATTCTCCTCCTCCTTCTCTTCCACCCCCTCCTCTCTGCAACCCCCCCTGCCTCTAGCACTGATGATATTCCCTAGTTTGGTAATGAAACGTCTGCAAGAAAGCCACCCAGCTCGGAGAGCACCAAAGACTCTACAGTTCTCCCCCTCCTCTCTCCTTCTTCCTCTTCCCCTTCCTCCTCCTCCTCCTCTCTGCAAACCCCCTCCCTCTAGCACTGATGACGTTCCCTAGTTGGGTCGTGAAACGTCTGCAAGGAAGCCACCCAGCTCAGAGAGCACCAAGGACCCCACAGTCCTCCTCCTCCTCTTTTCCTCTCCTCCTCTTTCTCCTGGTCCCCTTCTTCTTCCTCCTCCCCTCTTCTCCTCTTCCTCCTTCTCCTCCTCCTCCTCCTCTCCTTCCTTTTCCTCCTCTCTGCAAACCCCCCTCCCTCTAGCATTGATGACGTTCCCTAGTTGGGTTGTGAAACGTCTGCAAGGAAATCACCAAGCTCAGAGAGGACCCAGGACCCCACAATTCTCCTCCTCCTCCTCCTCCTCCCTGCATTCCCCTCCCTTCTAGCACTGATGATGTTCCCTAGTTGGGTCATGAAACGTCTGCAAAAAAACCAACAGGCTCAGAGACCACCAAGCACCCCACAGTCCTCTCCTTCTTCCTCTTCCCCTTCCTTCTCCTCCTCTCTGCAAACCCCCCTCCCTCTAGCACTGATGACGTTCCCTAGTTGGGTCGTGAAACGTCTGCAAGGAAGCCACCCAGCTCAGCGAGCACCACGGGTCCCCCATCTCATCCGTGAGCTACAAATATCCTCCTTTACTGCTGGGAAAGTGACGCTGGGAGGAGAGGCTGTCCTAGCAGGGGGGGGGGCTGGCTGTCCTCCGAGCGGCCAGGCGAGAGGGCCGGGGGTACCTCTCCATGTCGGTGGTGTCCAGGGCCCGGATGCCGTCAGCCAGGGGCTTGTCCGGGTCAGCAGAGATCTGCTCGTACTGGTAGGCCTGCATCTTCTCAAAGAGCCGGGTCAGGTTCTGCTTACGGATCTTCAGCTGGGTCCACTGGAGGGGGAGAGCAGAGGGGCCTGGTTAGCCTGGGCCCTTGGGGGCTCCCCTCCCTCTTCCTTCCCAACCGCCGAAGGGAGCCCGCCGGCAGCGAGGGCATCAGGACCGCCTCCAAATCCTGGGGCTCTTGCCACTGGACCGGGCTGCCTTGCGATGGGGCAGCAGGGGAACACTTCCCTGGGTAGAGTGGGGGTGTCCAACCTTGGCCCCTTTAAAACTTGTGGACTTCCTCAGCCAGGTCTCCAACCTTGGCCCCTTTAAGACCTGTGGACTTCAACTCCCAGAATTCCCAAGCCAGCCCTGCTGGCTGGGGAATTCTGGGAGTTGAAGTCCACAGGTCTTAAAGGGGCCAAGGTTGGCACTCAAGGCTCATGCAGGCTGAGCTGCGTTCCTCAACCGTGGCAATTTGGAGGTGTGCACGCTCCCAGGCTGGCTAGGGAATTCTGGGAGCTGAAGTCCATACAGACTCAAGTTGCCGAGATTGAGAGACCCTGGGTAGACCCAGGGGTTTATCCTCTTTTCTGCTCTACTCCACAATTCAGCACGGAATACCTGCAGCGTAACGTGGAAGCCCAAAGAATTCCAGCTTATTCTATAAATGACAATTGGACAAACTATAGCTTAATAAGAGTGGATAGTCACCAGAAGCCCTGCAGTTTCAGGATGAGGGTCTAGGGCAAGGGTAGGCGACCTTGGCTCTTTTATGACTGGTGGACTTCAACTCCCAGAATTCCTGAGCCAGCATGGGGGAACTATGGCTCCCTTCATGACTGGTGGACTTCAACTCCCAGAATTCCTCAGCCAGTATGGGGGAACTATGGCCCCCTCATGACTCGTGGACTTCAACTCCCAGAATTCCTGAGCCAGCATGGCTCAGCTTGGAAACCTCTCCCTTTCCCCTCAGCATGGCTGGCTCAGGAATTCTGGGAGTTGAAGTCCACCAGTCATGAAGGGGGCCATAGTTCCTCCATGCTGGCTCAGGAATTCTGGGAGTTGAAGTCCACGAGTCATAAAAAAGACCCAGGTTGCCTACTCCTGGCCTAGAGGTCGAGAGAGACCGAATCCGTTCTTCTCGGTACGGCAGGGGCCCACTTTTGCTTCTCCCCCCCCCAAGAGCCATCCACCTTGTAGGTTGGTGAACTCTGGACCAGAGAGAGCCCCCCTCCCCGATGTCCCCTCCCCACTCTGCTCCTCACCTTCTCGTCCCAGTGCCAGACTCTCCAGAGGTCGTTGATGTGCAGCTCGGGTTCCACGTACTCCTTCCGGTAAAAGGCGATGAAGGGGACCTGCTCCCGGGTGAGACGGTTTTATTAGGGGATGGAAGGGAGGCTGTGGGTGGGGGGCAGTCAAGAGGGGGGGTCTCTGCGGGGAGGGGAGGGGCAGCTGTGCCCAGAAACCATCCTTAATCTGGGAGAGACGGTTTTATGACTGCAGGGGAGGCTGTGGGGTGGGCAGTCCCGGGGTCTCTCCGGGGAAAGGAGGGGCAGGTGTGCCCGGAGACCATCCCTCCTCTGGGAAAGACGATGGAAGGGAGGCTGGGGGTGGGGTGGGGGCAGTCCGGGGGTCTCTTTGGGGAGGGGCAGCTGTGCCTGGAGACCATCCTTAGTCTGACGGCTCTGCAGCAGCCGCGGCCCCTTCCACCTGCCTCAAAGTGTTGGTTCCTCATGAAGTTGAGGGCCTCCTTGATCTTCTGGATGGTGCTGGGCCCTTTGCGGCTGAAGCTACTGCTGCTCTGGCCACGGTCCAAGTAGTCCGAACTCTCCTGGGGAGAGAAAAAAGGTGGTTGGACCCCAAGAGCCCCCCGCAGCTCCTCTGGGGTCTTCCGAACGGGGCTGGCCGGCCCAAGGTCTCCGCGTCCATCGGGCCCTCGCCCTCCACATCAGTCAGCTGTCCCCCCCCCAATCGAGGCACAAGCCCCACTGAAAGGGTGAGGAGCGGGTCAAGAGCCCAGAACGTGCTCCGAAGGCCCCGAGTTCCAGTGCCCTGCTTCGCTCTTACGACGTGGCCCCAGTTTCCACCTGGTGAGGTGAGGCTTCCAGCTGGAGATTTATTTATTCGTTGTGCATATGGTGTAGGGCAGAGTTTCTCAACCTTAGCCCCTGGAAGAGGGGTGGACTTCAACTCCCAGAATTCCCCAGCCAGCGTTGCTGGCTGGGGAATTCTGGGAGTTGAAGTCCACCCCTCTTCCAGGGGCTAAGGTTGAGAAACTCCAGAGCACATGGATAACAGTAATGAAATGATATAGAGGGAGCACGTAAGAGTAAGGTGAAAATAGACGTAGTCCCTTTTGGAGGGGGTTAGCGGAATTCCAAACGATCATATACAAGCTATAGGTTACTTTTTAAAATATGCCGATTCGTAAGGAAAGAATAAGTATCTAGGCTATTTGGCAGGACTTTGGAGCTGAAAGCGAGCAAACTCAGCCGGCAGGAGGTCTGCGGAGACGCTCCCTCCTTCAGCTGACGGTTGTCCCAAAGGAGCTTTTTTCCCCAAAAGGCAGCTGGACTTTGGTGGTTCTGTTTTTCCTGGAAAATGTTTTCCTTCTCGTCCAAGGAGCTTCTTCAGTTCTTCAAACTTCCTTCCTCCCTTCTTGTCTCTTTCTTTCTCCCTCTTCCCTCCCTCCCTCCCTCCGTCATCCTTCCTTCCTTCCCCTCCCTCCCTCTTCTTCCTTCCTCTCATTCCCATCTCCTTCCCTATCCCTCCTCCTCCCTCTTTTCTTCCTTCCTTCCTCATTCCCATCTCCTTCCCCTCCCTCCCTTCCTCTCATTCCCATCTCCTTCCCTATCTTTCTTCCTCCCTTTTCTTCCTTCCTTCATTCCCATCTCCTTCTCCTCCCTTCCTCTTCTTCCTTCCTTCCTTCCTCTCATTCCCATCCCCTTCCCTATCCTTCTTCCTCCCCTTCCTTCCTTCCTCATTCCCATCTCCTTCCCCATCCTTTTCTTCCTCCCTTTCCCTTCCTTCCTCATTCCCATCTCCTTCCCCTCCCTCCCTTTTCTCTCTCTTTCTCTTTCTTTCTCCCTCTTCCCTCCCTCCCTCCCTTCCCCCAAGAAGTGAAAAAGCTTCTTGGATGAGAAGTGAAATGTTTTCAAGGGAAGAAAAAATAGCCTTTGGGGAAAAGCACCTTTGGGTCGGCCAACCAGCTGGAAGGCCCAGCACAAGAGATCTGGGGACTGTGTGTGTGTGTGTGTGTGTGTGTGTGTGTGTGTGTGTGTGTAGGAATGGCAGCCCGCCCCCCCCCCCACTGCTTGGCTCAGGGCTCCACAGGGAAAGAGACTCCCCAAGCCAGGCAGACTCTCAGGGGCCGCTGACCGGCCGGCCGGCAGGGCTCCCAGGGGGACGGGCGGGGGTCCTACCTGCAGGGAGATGGTGGGCATGGCGAAGGCGTTCCGGTAGATCCAGTCGGCTTCCTCTTCCAGCTCGTCATCTTCCGCGCTCTTGACGGGAATGGAGCGCAGCTGGAGGGAGGCAAGGGGAGAAGGGATGGCCTTGGAGACCCCAACCCCATTTTGCCCAGGCCCAGCCCTCCAGGGTGTAGCAAGGAAGGAAAGGTCAAAAGACCCTCTCCCCTAAAAGCCTGGTCCCTGTAGGGAATCGCAGGTAGTTCTCAAGTTACAACCGTTCGTTTAGTGAAAAAAGTGACTTGGGATCCTTTCTGCAGGTTGCCTTAATCTTCCTGCTCCAATAAGACTAAGTCTAAATTTGGAGGCTTGGCAACCAACTCATATTTATGACGGTCGCAGGGTCCCGGGGCCACGTGATTCTGAATAGCAACGGGGGAAGCCAGGTTCACTTAACAACCGTGTGACTAACTTAACTAACTGCAGTGTTTCACTTATCAACCATGGCAGGGAAGACCAGGGGTCCCCAACCCCCTGGTCCGTGGATCGGTACCGGGCCGCGGCATGCCAGCAACCGGTCCGCACAAACAAGCAAAGCCCCATCCACGGGATGCAGGCAGCACACAAAACCAGGCCCCCTTCGGTCCACGGAAAAACCTCTCCCCACGGAACCGGCGGCCCCTGGTGCCCCAAAGGTTGGGGGCCCCTGAGATGCTAGACGACGCAGAGGGAAGCTAAGCCGTGTTAACAAACAGTGATAAGGACATCAGATGGGCAAAGAGGGGTTGGCTTAAGGCGGGCTTGTGGGTCAGTTGGCATAAACACCGGACAGGGGGTCCTCGACTTAATGATCACGCTGAAGCCCAAGGTTTCTGTTGCTAAGTGAAACATTTCTTAAGTATGCTTTGCCCCATTTTACAACCTTCCTGGCGAATCCCTGCAGCTGTGAAGTTAGTCACACGGCTGCTAGGCGAATCTTCTCAGAGGGTCGCCAAAGGGGATCCCCTGACCCCGGGATCGCGTGACCCCAGGAAACGGCAACCGTCCTAAATAGAAGCCCGTTGCCAAGGGTCTGAATTTGGATCACGTGACCCGGGGGATGCTGCAAGGGTGGTGTGAAGGACGGTCGTAAGTCACAGTGTCAACGCTGCAAATACTGTATATTCTTGCTTTGACAATATGCAGAACTGTCTGGTATTTTTATAGTTAAACCAGGCAACAGGGAAAAAGGGAGGAGAATAAGGATAGCCCGGGAGAAAGAAACCGGAAGTAAATCACGTCTTCCAAGTTGATTGGAAGATGTGAACCATGACCCCAAAATAAGGGGGGGGGGGAAATGCTTAGAATGTAGGTATATGCGTAACGGAAGAGAAGCCAGATCTAAGCATTTCCACCATGCTGTACTGACGTCTCTGTAACCTTAATAAATGCTTTTAGGAGAAAATATGCCTGAAAGTCCTTTTAAGTGTTTCGTTAATCAGACACATGACACCCAGCTTACACTTCCGTTGTAGCTTCGGTCAGTAAATGAACTGTGGTTAAGTCAAGGGCTCCCTGCCCCGTTGAAGGAGGGGCCTTCACCCCCCCAAGCAACTCTCCCCCTCGGGGTGGCTTCGCTGGGCACTGCCCCCGGGACAGGCCCCACTTCCTGGGACAAGGGGGAGGGGCTGAGGTGGGGGTGGGCCACGAGGAGGAGCGCCGCACCCTCACCTGGAAGCGCTCGGGCATGTCGGTCACCCGGATCTCGTTGTCCTGGTCGGTCAGGTGGCTGCTCTCCAGCTCGCTGGGCTCGTAGATCTCGAAGATGCTACGGCGACTGACCCGCTTCTTGGCCGTCTTCTTGGGCCGGACGCGGATCTCGCCCTCCGTCTCTTCCGGCTCGTAGTCGTACTCGTCCTCCATCTCCTCATCGTATTCGTTGTATTTCTCAAACTCATCGTAGTCAAAGTCCACGCCGAAGATCTCCTGGGCTTCCTGCAAGGCTCTGTGGGAGGAAGCAGGGCCACCAGCTTCTCAAGAAGGTCCATAACCGGATTCAGCTGGTCCCATCCTTAATAGCCATGCCCCCAACGGAAACAGCACCTTCTCAAGAAGGTCCATAACCGGATTAAGCTGGTCCCATACCCAGGAACCATGTCCCCAATGGAACCACCACCTTCTCAAGAAGGTCCATAACCAAATTGAGCTGGTCCCATCCTAAATAGCCATGCCCCCAACGGAAACACCACCTTCTCTAGAAGGTCCATACCTACAAGTGGAGTAAGCTGGCCCCATCCTTAATAGCCATGCCCCCAATGGAACCATCACCTTCTCTAGAAAGTCCATACCTACAAGTGGATTAAGCTGCCCCCATTCTTAATAGCCATGCCCCCAATGGAACCATTACCTTCTCAAGAAGGATTAAGCTGGTCCCATCCCCAGGAGCCATGCCCCCAATGGAACCACCACCTTCTCAAGAAGGTCTATAACCGGATTGTCCCATCCCCAGGAACCATGTCCCCAATGGAACCACCACCTTCTCAAGAAGGTCCATAACCAGATTGAGCTGGTCCC